TGCACATTTTCATTGTTTTGAACAGGTTATTATTTTCAAGAATCGACATGCGCAAGTTAATGCAACGTCATTATTTAATGTCAGGAGGTTATTATTTTTAATAATGACCTCCAATATTTAAAATAATGACCCCGATTTTTCGCTTGAATAAAAAATAAACCATTGCGCGTTACAACTTTGCTTTAAAGCAAATTTTAATTACACTACAAAAATTTCCATTTTAATTTAACTACAACGTATAAAGTTTTAAAAAACTAGGGCTTATTAACTATTGTAATGTTGCAATTGCCGCCACTAATATTTAAAACAACCGACCCCATTCCATCATCACCCTTCTCTATTGGCGCGCTACTTTCCGCCGTTGCACCCTTCTCTGACGTGATACCTTGCACGATTTTCGAGACATTTGCATGCTGCTCCTCTGTTTCTCGCTTATAACAATCGAGAGCCTCGGAACGATGCCCAGTAACCCCCTTTATCAGCTTATCATCAACGCCTTCACGAAATAACCTCGAGCATTCTGTATGCCCACATCGCTTTCCTCTTAGTATTTTCTGGGATGCTTCACGAAGCCAACTGTATCATACTTTTACTGCTGCAAATCTCAAACCGGTCAGACGTATTCTGTTGCTCTATTGCAAAATATAAATAAATTCAAATATTAATCGCTATGATTAATGCTTGTTACTAACTTTTAAACAAAACTTAGCTAAGACAATTTTCACCTTTTCTATCCAACGTGCTTTTCCCAGGTGCATTACATCGCCGCTCACTGACACTGTCTATCTGATTTGGCCTTTCCAGTGAAATTCTCCGCTCTGCAAACAAATACAAATCCAATGACTGGGAAAGTATTCCATCCAGCCCATCGTCTTCCAAATCTAGACAGTCGCAATCCCAATCATTGGTCTTTTCAACTTCAAATTCATCGTCATATCGTTCTCCAAACAAACTAAAATCTCGCTTTCTCGAACCAGACATCCTCACTCCACAAATATCAATCAAGTAATAAAAAGGTAGCTGTTGAAAAAACACAGCCCAGGAATGCGCATACAAAACACAAATATGCACGCCGGGTCAGCTCTTCCCAAAAATCGGCCATCTGATATAAACTTTTTCAATATATTTCGGATGGACATGAAACTTGCTACATCAATATAACTTTCCATTCCGAACAATCGTATGTTTTTATTTTTGAGATTTAACGGTTTTTGGCGGGAAAATGACGTCACGAAACCTCCAGTTAAAATTTATTTTCAATATCTTAATAGTTTTTAAGCAGAATGTGGAAGATCATGTCACGAAGAGTTCAAAACTGAAAAGAGATTTTAAATATCTTAATCTAATCACGAGATACAGGGAGTTTAGAATCGAATTTTCCACCATTTTGTTACTATTTTTAGATTTTTCACGGTTTTTATAGTGAAATAACTTTGGATTAGGTTTAGATATTTAAAATCCGTTTTCAGTTTTGAACTGTTCATGACATGTTCTTCCAAATTCTGCGACAAAACTATTAAGATATTGAAAGTAAATTTTAACTGGAGGTTTCGTGACGTCATTTTCCCGCCAAAAACCGTTAAATCTCAAAAATAAAAAACATACGATTGTTCGGAATGGAAAGTTATATTGATGTAGCAAGTTTCATGTCCATCCGAAATATATTGAAAAAGTTTATATCAGATGGCCGATTTTTGGGAAGAGCTGACCCGGCGTGATGGTGTGAAAAATTATAGTACCACAACAATGAACTTGTAACTATCTTAACAGTTTTCTTTGTTCATAAACACCATAATGTGCATTAAGTCGGATAATACCCTCGCTCTCGGTATTATTAAAAATAATGACCTCGCGCTACGCGCTCGGTCATTATTTTTAATAATACCTCGAGCTTGGGCATTATCCTATACCTATACGACACTATACAGGACTATACGACACTATACAACACTATACGACACTATACAGCACTATACAAGACTATACCACACTATACAAGAATATACAACACTTGACCTTTGAACCTAATGTGTTCAAAACGCGCGAAAACGTTCATTGCTTTATGTATTAAAGATCGTTGGATCGAAGTTTCTATATTTTCAAATAAATATGTTTTTGCTTTATTACATTTTTGTGGTGTGGTAAGTTGTTTTTAATCGTTTATTAACATTTATTGGTTACTGGACTGAAAGCCTTACTCCTTAGCATGAAATATTTAGTTTAATTGACTAAGAAACTCTATACTCTAAAGGCAAATGAAACGAAATGAACACTAAGATATTGAAACCTTTTTTGAATTTAAGTGCCTATACCTACATTTTTTAAAAAATTGAACATTTTCTGACATGAATTTCTCGACAATAATATAGTGTTGTATAGTGTCGTATATATAGTCTTGTATATTGTCGTATAGTGCTGTATAGTGTCGTATAGTGTTGTATAGTCTTGTATAGTGCTGTATAGTGTTGTATAGTGTCGTATAGTCTTGTATAGAGTCATATAGTGCTGTGTAGTGTTGTATAGTGTTGTATAGTGTTGTATAGTATTGTATAGTGTTGTATAGTTTTGTATAGTGTGGTATAGTGCTGTATTGTGTTGTATAGTGTTGTATAGTGCTGTATAGTGTTCTATAGTGCCGTATAGTCTTGTATATTGTCGTATAGTGTTGTATAGTGTTGTATAGTGTCGTATATATAGTCTTGTATATTGTCGTATAGTGCTGTATAGTGTCGTATAGTGTTGTATAGTCTTGTATAGTGCTGTATAGTGTTGTATAGTGCGTATAGTCTTGTATAGAGTCGTATAGTGCTGTGTAGTGTTGTATAGTGTTGTATAGTGTTGTATAGTTTTGTATAGTGTGGTATAGTGCTGTATTGTGTTGTATAGTGTTGTATAGTGCTGTATAGTGTTGTATAGTGCTGTACAGTGTTGTATAGTGTTGTATAGTTTTGTATAGTGTGGTATAGTGCTGTATTGTGTTGTATAGTGCTGTATAGTGTCGTATAGTGTCGTATAGTGTTGTATAGTGCTGTATAGTGTTGTATAGTGCTGTATAGTGCTGTATAGTGCTGTATAGTGTTGTACAGTGCTGTACAGTGTTGTATAGTGCTGTATAGTGTCGTATAGTGTTGTATAGTCTTGTATAGTGCTGTATAGCGTTGTATAGTGCTGTATAGTGTCGTATAGTGTTGTATAGTCTTGTATAGTGCTGTATAGCGTTGTATAGTGTTGTGTAGTCTTGTATAGAGTCGTATAGTGCTGTAAAGTGTTGTATAGTGCTGTACAGTGTTGTATAGTGTTGTATAGTTTTGTATAGTGTGGTATAGTGCTGTATTGTGTTGTATAGTGCTGTATAGTGTCGTATAGTGTTGTATAGTGCTGTATAGTGCTGTATAGTGCTGTATAGTGTTGTACAGTGCTGTACAGTGTTGTATAGTGCTGTATAGTGTCGTATAGTGTTGTATAGTCTTGTATAGTGCTGTATAGCGTTGTATAGTGTTGTGTAGTCTTGTATAGAGTCGTATAGTGCTGTATAGTGCTGTATAGTGTTGTATAGTGTTGTATAGTGTTGTATAATTTTGTATAGTGTGGTATAGTGCTGTATTGTGTTGTATAGTGTTGTATAGTGCTGTATAGTGTTGTATAGTGCTGTATAGTGCTGTATAGTGTTGTATAGTGCTGTATAGTGTTGTATAGTCTTGAATAGTGTAGTATAGCTATGTACAATAGTGTATATTTATGTGTATGGTACACTATAGTACCGATTACATGACGTTTACTATATTGGTGCGCGAAACATGGAATGATAACCACATATGGTTGCACAAATATTACCTTCCCCTCCCTCCCTCGGGCAGGTCAAACAATTGTCTGTTCACTTGCTGTATATTTTGCAGTACTGGAATGGAAAATTTTGACCAAATATAACTGTTATTTCTATCTGCAGTTGTGCAAGTAACGTCAATTTTACGGACGATGTTATATTAGTGTTCTACTGAGCGAATTTTTGGCCAGATGTTGCTCGTCGAAACCAGTTTAGACCCCGTGAAAGTATACGTGTAATTTGAGTTATTTGACAAACAGGATGGCATTCCCGTTGTGCGTATAGGTATACTCGTCCAATCGGAAGATATTTCGTTAATTCCCACTCAATTTTGGATTTTTATGATGAGGTTTAACCGTCACTATCGTTCAAGGTTCACAAACAGGGTTTTGGTCCATCCAAAGTACATTTGAGTTACTGAGCTAAACTTCAGCAAGTCCCGTATTGTAATATAAATATGGCTGTGTCGTTATCTGACCAATATGTTCTGTTTATATACTACAAAACGTCGGCCAGGAGAACAGGCTCTTACGAGAACAGTTAATATTAAAGACGACTATAAACGAGACGAAGTTGTCCATCAAAGGTATGAACTCAAGGTTGATAAAATGGACAATTTGTCAAACAGAACCGCGAGACACGTTGCCAAAGCTATGCAGGGTAAGCATTTGTACTTATATCTGATAAATTGTGAATACATGTCATTTGGTATAGAACGCTCTGATTTAATGAAAGTTTAGGCTCCTAAAATAATTGCGCCAAATATTCAAAGGCTAATTCAAGATTGCTGAACTCAGTCATAGATGCTGGTTAATAATTTATTACATGCAAATCACTGCTAAAAATACTACAGAACAGTATATACCCCATTCACTGTATAAATATTATAGAACCCTTGTCTTTGCCCTTGGCAGGCAAAACGTGCAAGTTATGTTTACGCAATATATTTCTGATCTGCACTGTTGTGTTATGCCTGACTCAGGGAGGACAGGCATACCTAGGGGAATTTGACAGTTTCAATTTTGCTACTTATGTATGACAATAAGCTCCACTGCAGAGCACCACTTTTTAGTCAATCTTTGTCAAATTTTCCCCTATTAAGAAATTTCAAGTTGCGAGAACTCGAGTCAATTCCTGTGTATGCCATCCTTCCCCAGGCGGACAAAACATTGCTTCGTGCATTATTCCAAAGTGCATATCACAATCACAAAACTCTTCACAGCCTAGGTTAACAAGGCAAGGATTAAGTGTCTA